GGTTTGGATAACACGTTGGTAGATTCAGCCCCCTCTTCCCGAACAGCTTTCCTTAGGGACACTGAGCAGCCCAGGCTGGGTCCCAAAAAAGGCAGCTGGACGTCTGGGCGCCACAGCAGCCAGTTGTTTGGGTTTAGTTGGAGGAAAATACAGTTGTGGTTACTTGTTTGCGAAGTAGAAGGTGAAAACATCTAGAATTGTTTCTCTTGCAGATTTGTAACAAGGACAGCCTGTGCTTTATTAGAACCCAGTCCATAGTCTCCATGTCCTATCTAGATGAAACTGATTGAGAAGCAGCTGCGGACGTTCTGCTTGGACTGTGTGTTTGCAGTAAGCTTTTAACTCTGAAAAAGGCAGGCACATCAAGACACAGAGTGGTACAGACTAAATGGATCTAAAGACAGCAGTGTTCAATGCAGTTCGTGATGGCAAGGTGCGGCTCCTTTCCAAGTTACTGGCAAACAAAACAAGAGAAGAGGTGGCCCAGCTGATGTCGGAGAAAATAAATGGTGCCGCACCACTTCTGATTGCAGCCCGTTATGGTCACCTTGACATGGTGGAATACCTGTTGAACCATTGCGCTGTGCCAATAGAAGTTGGTGGTTCGGTGAATTTTGATGGTGAGCCCATTGAGGGTGCTCCGCCATTATGGGCAGCATCGGCGGCTGGCCACTTGAAGGTGGTTCAGTGTTTGATATATCACGGTGCATCTGTCAACAGTACAACTTTGACAAATTCGACGCCACTTAGAGCTGCCTGTTTTGATGGTCACCTGGAAATAGTAAAATATCTCGTGGAGCACAAAGCAGACCTGGAAGTATCAAATCGTCATGGGCATACATGCTTGATGATCTCCTGCTACAAAGGCCACAAAGAAATTGCTCAGTATTTACTTGAAAAGGGAGCTGATGTTAACAGAAAAAGCGTTAAAGGTAAGTTAATTTTTTAACTTTCCTTGTGGTAAGTAGGAGTAAAGTTACTCATTCACCCTCCTTTAGGAGGCTGACATCCAGAAATACTATTCTGGTCTCATAAAGTGGATAAGACAGACATAAAGTGTACCTAGCTATGTTTTTACTGTTTGGTTTTTTTCCCCAAAATACTCCTTTATTAACAGGGGTTGTAGTATTTCATTCTAAATTGATAGGTTTTAATCTTAAACCCTAATCCTTAAAAAGATTTAATCATATGAACTGTCACACTTCTGCATGTGTGAAAAGCTAATAAACTTGCTGAGAATTCTTCTTTGTAGTAAGTTGGCGTGGCGACATATTCAAATACATAAGCATTTATTCTTGTTTTTATACTATTTCTTAACAAACCAAATGCACTGTACATAAAACTGACACATAAAGGGGAAAAATTATTTTCTAGATTAGAAATTAATAATCACTTTGCTTTTCACCCTCCTGTCTTTCTCCAAATTTTTGAGTAATTTTGGACCTTTTTTCAGTGTTAGTAAATAAAAACATACATTAGGACTAAAGAAATGAAGCTCCAGGTGACTGTGATCCCAACAGGACATCCAGTAGTGCTCAGATTGCAGAGGATCTCTCTTTGCCCCCATTTACAGTTACTCAGGTGTTACTGTTCAAAGTGAAAATTTCTGTCATTTTTGCTGTGATCATAATTATGTGCACTGGGTTTTTTTTATTACATCTTAGATTTTTATGTGGGCATGATACTTGCCTGAAGAGCATACCAATTATTGTAGGTTATGGTTAACTTATAGCTCACTGAGCCAGAACTGTGTTTCAGCAGCTTATTTTATGTATGTGTATACTACTAATCTGATAACAAACCTTTTTGTACTGTAATGTTTTCACTGCCCGCTTCTGGCTGATTACATTTGTAACAACATACTATACAGTTACTTCTGTTTAAGTATACTTAGTGTCTCGATTATTGTATGATACTGCTAAATGCCAGATATGAGAGTAATTTTTGGAAAAGCTGTTCAGTTAAATATGCCTTTCTTCAACAAATCATGCAGATATGTGGGTTTAATGTAAAGAAAGCTAAACTACAGATTTGTCATAGAGGTGGGCAGAGAAAAATAAATCTTCCTTTGTAAGGATTTAAGGTTGCTTATGAATCATCACGGACTTGTGATAGGATAAAAATGTCATGTTTCTAGACAGGGTTCTTGGAATAACAAGCTAAATATAAAGTGTGTATTGTTTTTTTAATTTCAAACCAATCCCTTTATATGGTAGGTATGAACAAAGCAGTGCTCTTAAATATCTGATATAACAGGGAAAAAGATCTATCTCTGCAGTTCTTTTGCCCCCTCATTTTGTGCTGGTGGAGTACGTTTCACTTTATTGGACCTCATTACTCACTTTACTAGTGCATTAGTGTTATTTGCCTTTGTTTAAATGACTGAGTGGCAGCCATGCCTGAGGATTTTCTCATTGCTCTCAGTTTCTCTGGTATTTTAATTCTTTCCTCTCTCTGCTTCCTTTAGTTTCCATGTGACTTGCAAGTAAGCACATGAGCAAAGTTTTATAAAGTATAACTGATCCTTATTTAAATTTAAAAAAGGTGGGATTAGATATGTTCTAGGTCATTTAAAATTCATTTTATACTTTGAACTAACATTTATACAGCTAGATGGATGGATGGATATGTAGTATCTGTTAGTAAAGTATTTGGAATATGTTTTTGTATGTGGAAATCCACTCTGACATGACACGAGCGTACTTTTTGGCATCTCAAAGTGGCCTGACCTCTGAAGTTATTTAATAAGCAATGGTGAGGTAAAGGAAGAGAAAGTGTCGTAAACTCTGAAAGTGAAAGTCAGCTGTGGAAAGGTAGAGGAGCTGAGCAAAGCTGGTAGCCCTAAATATTATAATGGTATGGGTATTGCAGTGGCTGAATATCAACAACTAACCTTCTGAACTTTGTTTTGCAAGAATGCTTAGTAGCAATTAATTTCAAAATTAGTATTTCCAGCAGGATTCATTCTAGACTGTCATGTTCCACCTCAAAGCCTCTGTATTATTTTCAGTTTCTGCTCCTCTCTGTTGTGTAATAAACATTTGACAGTGTGCCTGCACTTGTAGTAAGGGGACACAGAGAATGTAATGCGAGTGCTCTTGAGCAGTAGAAGTTGTTGCTGTCCTTGTATCTGAACTCCTTTTAGATAGACCCTTCCTGAGCCATGTATGGAGAAGCCTACTGTTGTGTGAAAGATGTACAAGCTTTAGCTAGTATAAATTTTGCTGCATTTAAAATTACAACGCTCCTTATAAGAACAATACTATGTAACTTGGATAGAGATGCTGTTGTGGGAGATTAGTATAGATTCTTTTCCAGATACTATTCTTAAAACCATGGTGGGGAGGGGGGAAAAACTGCTTGAGCTATTCCTTGTATTTTTTGCACTGGATTTTCATATTGCAAGGTAGAACTTTCCTCGTTTTTAACATATGAATAAAATCTAGAGCTAGGAAAGATATGAAAATGTTTCACAATGTTGATAGTTCCAGGGAAAAATCCAAATTCTTTGAGATGAGAAAACAGCAGCATTCACAGACATCTAAAAGTCAAGATGACAACTGAGGTAAGATATGAAAGAGCAGGTGAAAATATGTGGTGAAATCCTGCTCCTGAAATTTGTGCAGAATCCCACAACTGTGTTTTGGACTATGGAAATTCAGAATGCAGAGGCTCTTGAAAGAGTTGTGGAAGTGCGAAAGTAGCTAGGTAAGCTAGGAAATTATTAAGATGTTCATAAAGAGTTCAGAATCAGAGTCAGCTAAGATGCTGCACCAAGGTGAAGTGTAGGTCTGGTACTATCTCACAGGAGATGGTGGTGAAGCAAGAGGTAACGAAGTTTGCGATAGGTAAGTGCTATACTGTGAAAGATGGTAAATTGGTCTGAATTTAAAGTATGAACCTTTAGTTGTTTTTTGTTTCTACTCTTTTGCAGATCTCAACTTTCACAGTTAACCCAGACTTTTATGAAGCACATTGGCAACACAAATGTGAACAAAGGATTTTTTTAAAGAATGCCTTATGTTACATGAACAGTGTTAGCGAGTGGTAAAACCTGATACCCCGGGCTAAGAAGGGTTTCTCTTAGAGTTGTGGAAAACAGCAAAGATAGCTGTAGAAAATCAAAGTAGCTGAAGCAGTGCTTAGAAAGTGAGTTAATTTACTGCTCTCTTCCTAATTCAGAAGCTTCTCCAGTATGTTACTCCTGGATTAAGAAGATTAAAAATAATGAAGCTTATTAAGTTTCACTGGCATATAATAATATCTCAAATGGTAAATTTTTTTTGTTCTTTTCCAGAAACAACCAAAAACCCTCTTAAAACTTAGATCTTAAAGCTTTTATGCTGCTTTTAAAAGGAGGAACAGTGCAGATAATGCTAAAGCAGCAGAAATCAGAGTTTTTTCAGGAGGAGGCAGAACCCTAGAACTAACCCTGAAGTGAAGCACAGCCCTACCTTTTATTGAGTGAGGAGAAGGTTCTGTGTGTTGGCTGCATGCAATTTTCAGCTCTGCTGCACTGCGAAACCTGCCACTGATGTGTAGCTGGAGTGGTGCTCCCTTACTGTGTTCAGAATACAGCTCTGGATTCTTGAATACAGTATTTCACTGATGTGTTCCTGTGGACAGTCTTTGGCTGCTATGTGTAAGGAGGGAAATGCTTACTCTTGTAATTGAAGTGGTAGCCGTCTTTGGGCCTTCAAATTACAGATCTGGGCTTTTGGGGATATACCTGGGGCTGTGTTTGTTGGATTTTTATTTTTCAATTAAATTATTTAATATAATTGCCTCAAGAAAATTATTTTGCATGAAGGCCTTTTTAAAGGGATCATATACTTTTTTTCCAGCTCCAGACAGGACACCTAGATCTTGCATTTTGAAAATTTGCAATGCACATTTTGATATTTTATGTTATGCTTTATCCTTCTCCAAAACACTTGGTGCAGTAATGGAGGATCATTGCATTCCTTTCTGCAATTAAGGAGTTAAATCGTAGATAAAGTACACAGGTGCTGATAGCCAGGAAGGTCTGAATGTAATGGCATAGGGAATAAGAACTCTTCCAAAATATCTAATTGAAAGGCAGATATTTTTTTCTGAACATGGCTTGTAAGTCTTTCCATTCCTTAGCTGCATGGTATGCAGTCTCTTTATCTTCACGGTGGTTTTTGTGGTTATTAAAAGTGGTCTTCACTAAATCTGTCCCTCTTCTGTAGTCAGTCCACTCCTCTGCTAGCCAAAAGACTGGTTTTTTTTCTCCTCCTCACTGTTAGAAAATATCATAAGAGCTGCTGGACTAAGCATTTCTGTAGGTGTCTCTTATGATCCGCACAGGAATGTTTGGTTGCAAGCTCTGATTATGGAGAATCATAAATGACAAATACTACCGTAGCAGCTGGAGGGTCTCATCTATTTTGAAAATGCAGATTAACATTATGATTCAAAATCTTCTTGTCCTTAAATTCTATTGGCACAGTATTTGATGAGAATAGCTTTATAAAATACTATGGAGGACAATGCTTATTGACTTTGCTTCCTCATTTTGAAAAGTACAGAAGCATACAGACCTGAGTCTGAGTGTTATATCAAGGTTATACATATGGTGATACTATATCAAGGGCTAGTGTTATTTTAGTATTGTCATTTTTGTGGGGTACTGGAAAATGTAACACTCAAACCTACTGGTAAGAGGAAAAAATCTTTTACAGACCTGCTACACCCAAAAAATAGGGGGATTATAGAAAGTCACACTCTTTGCTCTGTGATCAGTGTGGTTTAGTATGTGTTAAAATTAATCTTCTCTTATAGTAAGCATAAAGGAGTCCGACAAGTTTGTTCTCTTCTGAGGTTTTTTTTGTTTTGCCTACTTGCAAAGATTAATTCTGGGAAGGGAGGGAACCCAAACAAACAAAAAAAAAACACAGCAAAAAAACCCAAAACAAAACAAAGGTCCCCCCCACTTTTTTTTCTTCACCCCACTCTGTGAATAAGCCCTTGCTCTGAAAATCCTTTTTTTAAATCACTTTCAGTTTTCTTTCCTTTTTTGGTTGATATTACATGGCACAGTACACTGCATATTGCAGATATTTTGTGTGTGACAGTGTGGAACCTGAGCAATGTCTGTAAATAAAATAAGGAAGATACAGTTTAAGGGAATGCATTCTTGAATTTCAACTAAAAAGGAGCTTATGTTGAAATTAAATGATTAGCACCATGCTTTGTATAGGCAATCTTGATAATACAAGCTCTCATGAAGTCCTTTGAAAAAGAAAGCAATTAGTCCATTACAGAATATGGAAACTAGATTAAAATAACTTGTTGAGATTAGCAGTTATTTGCAATTTTTACTTCGTTTCTTCTTGAAGGGAAGTCATACTTTTATTTTGTCATGCATGCGAAGTATGGGGATGTATAACAGTTTTCTGGTGTGCTGTCCATGTTTCTGTGTATGTATAAATATTTTTGTGTTAATCGGTAAAACGCTCAGAAGGCTTAATTACTTTAAGTGCTCTGTTAGAAAAAGGTGGATGCTACATGAAAAACTTCACTTACAGAAGTAATTTCATCTGTAAGGCTGCAAAAATATATGGATGTGGTTAATTTTACATACTGGTCAGTGATTTAAATGGAATTTTTTTTCTCTTATGTTTAAAGATCATGGATATGAAATCAAATGCGTACTAAATTTTAATGTAAGCTTTATTACCTAGGAATTTGATCAAGCATTTTGTAAATATTAGGAAGTAGATGTACTTAATTGGCTGCAAATGAAGTAAAATCACTTCCTGTGTCATTGCTTCATTTTCTTTGATTCTAAAGCTACCAGTGTATTTTGGGAATTACTTCTTTCTGACATAGAAAGACATGGCCTCATTATGAATTTGAATGCCCATCCCCACTCAGATAAGATTTTGGCAACACTGGATAGTTGGAGAATTAGTTTTGTAATATGTGAAACATTTGTGTAATGTTCATAGGACTTTTAACAAAGGATTGTAACCAAAGAATAAAACATGAAGCTATGGTGTCAGCTGACCTTACCTTTGCCCTTAATTTGTTTTCGCAACATTTGGGAGGACTGGAGGTGGGGTTATTCCATTTGTTTGTCACTGTTTTTAATTAGAGGAAGTTACTAGGTAATGTGAATAGTAAAGTTTTATACAGATAAAAATAGTTCGTAAGCAGTATTAGTAATACAGTATAGTGGCACTCGCATTCTAACAGGGAAGCTCTGTAACTACCAAGATGCTTCCACTCCAGTTGTCTTTCTGTACAACGATGATGAGCCTTTTGTATTGTTGTAATATTAGCTATCTTCTCTATGTGATTAAATTCCTGTAGATAATTTTGGAATTAAAAGTGGACTAAGAAAAGTTAATGAAACCTATTTTGAAATTATCATACACACTTCTAAAAAAATACTTTGATTTGACCAACATCATCTTATGTGTCCCTTGGAAAACTGATTATAAAAGAATGACTTTCAGATTATTTTTACTTATTTTCAGCCTTTTTCCTTTTTAATAAAACAGTAGATAAAATGTTGACTTTTAGTTTGTTACTGCCTAAATGTTACAAAATCTGAATTGACTGCTGAATTCTGTTCAGCTACTGTTTATTCTTGTCACTATAGACAATATAGTGTTTTTGAAATTGATAAGTTAATTCACAGAATAATAGTTGATTTACCATACTTTCTTGAACTCTTTAATTCCTGGCCAATATGTGGAACGTAGACTTTGAATTGGAGATTAAGGTCACTGCCATGATTTTTTTCAGTTTCTTCCTCATATTTAACACTTGATACTTGCTAGGTGTAGATGGCTGGTAATCTTGTTATTTATTAGCGTTGGGGTTTATGGGTTTTTAAGTTGACAGCTCTCAACTATCTGTCTACCCCATGCCCACTTCTAGACTATGGAAACTTGTTTTTTTACAGTGTATCCTTCCCATTGCTATACCTGTACCATCCAGTCAAACTGAGGTGAGGTGCAGCCACTAAAAATTAGTGGTGATGGGCCTTCTTTTATTAATTTGTACACGGCTTAAAATAGCTGTGGTTATTTCAACTCTAAGGGCTACTACAATGTAAGTAGCTAAAAAATTATACTACTTCTGATATGTTGTCAGTAACAGCTGTTCAAGCTTAAGTCAGTAATTGTAATACAAATCAAACACCCCACCTTTTTTTTCCTTAGATGAAGGACATCCAATTGGACAGAGTAGTGAAATTCCTTGGAATATTAAGCTTATTTCCACATGTTCTGCATAGCTGCATTGCAAATCAATGTCATACATATAGACTTTTGGATTGGACATGAATTTACTTAGACAATGGCCAAGCTTAATTTGTGTGGATTTTCTCAGTATTAATGTGTCATAGCACATATGCCTGGCAATTGATAAGAGTGTCAAGAGCAGCATTATATTGTAATGGATCTGCAATGTATAATATCAATAGCTGCCATTTGTCCTATTGCCAAAGCAATACATATTAATAGTTGTGAAGCACTAGTAAGAACTTCGGTGTTATTAATACTTTTGGTTTATTTTTAATATGCTTTTATGCTACAACTTTTTAAGTATCTTAAAATAGTGATTTGAAGGTAGAAGATAGGTGCCAATTCCAGTGTTTCAGAGCTCTGCTGTGAGGGATGGTGTATGGATTTGAATAAATCCGGAAATGGCTGTAATTAACTGCTGTCTTAACCAAGGCCCAGGTGCATCTGGTTTTGCCTTCATCACTGAGTGCAGAAGTGCAGATGGTCTGAGGAACCAGACAGTCTTTCATTCTGAATTGACTGCTTTAGTTGCATTTTAACTAGGCTTTCTCCAGCACAGCAAGAAGACTTGCAACGTATGTGCATTTGAGTTTGTGTATGTATTTGTCTGTTTATGACACCTTCCCATCTTAGGATAAAGGTCTTGTGCTCCTCAATACTGAAGTACCAACAGTTTTCTGGACTGTTATATGTGATAAGGACAGAAGGAATTATAGTTGAGAAACTATGCAGGCCAAATTTATAAAATGTTTAATCCATTTAAATTTGGTTAAATCTCTGTAGCTCTGCTATAATTGCAAAAACGTGCTAAACTTGGGTCATAAGCTTTTGAAAACAACTTTTTACACATCTTTTGTAAGAATTTGTTTAGTGTATCAGCTAAATTTTGGTATCTGCTGAGCCTGGATTGAGACTCTGTTTGTCCTGAATAACTCTCTCCTCCTTACTGCTGTTCTTCTAGTTGCTCGAATTGAGAGCAACAAAGAGGCTCTGAAATGTGCTGTCAGTTCTTCCTCAGATGGTCCACAAATAAGTATAGGAAGAAGCAGCAGACCAGTTTATATGTAATGTTTTGACAAGTTAAAGACTAGAAGAGAAAGAGTGAGGAGGAGAGGACTGGGATACCAGTGGGGAAAACCAAGGCAAAATGCCCAGTGCCCATTAGAAAATTTTCATCTGAACAGACCTTGAGTCTTTACGTACTGCATAACAGAACTTGCAAAATCATTGGATGAACATTTTCTTATCTCAGTTGCCTGTCAACATAAGATAAAAGCAAGCTACTGTGTGGTCATTCGCAAATCCAAAACACAGAATAGAGGTCTATGTTATGGATCTAAGGTGTCCGATTCTGCTAGTGACAAGTGGGTATTGAATTTAGAGGACAGTAACTATGGTTTGACCACATATTTCTGAATTTTGCTTTTATGTGCTTTCTTCAACTTTATATCCTCTTACTGTGCCTTGTTAGAAAGATGTGTGCTATGAAGTCACATATGTAAAAGCTAGAACACCTCAAAATTATTTGTATAGACCTAGATTATGTTCTTGTAATTGAAATTAAAATGTAACAAATATTCTATTTCTGAAGTGTATTTAGTAAGTATGAAGCTTTTCCTTACATACATACACATGTGCTAACTTCAGATATATTGCTTTTGAATTTATTGTATTTAAGATGATGTAAACAATATGATTTTGGCAGAGAGAATGTATTAGTGGAAAGACTTTACCTCCTTATTAGTTTTTATTTCCATATAGTGTTCAAATTTGAAGACAGATCTCAGACAGCTTTTGATTTGAGTTTCATTAGCTAAATACTCCAGTATAAAGAGTAAATTGCACATTCTAGACATCAGAGCCTGGAAAAAAAAGTCAAATGTATGAAGCTGTTTAGACCTATTGATCTTGATATTGTTTAGACACTATTGATCTACAAATACACACTTAGCCCAAACATGAGTTGAAGATTTCAAGACTACTGGTTAGTTTCCTAACCCACCGTAGTTCTGTTAAGAGATTAGAAATACAACAGCAAAGCACATTGTAAATAGCTTTCTTGTTGGCATTAAAAAAAATTCTACCAAAAAAACTCTCTCTCTCTTAACTTTTAAAAGCCAGATTTGATGACTCTGGATGGACAGAGAACTCTTAGAGAAGAAGGTCTTATTTGCAAATGTGGAACCTTGCTGACGGTGTAAGAGAAACTGATGATCTGGTGGGCAGTTAACTGGAATTTGCAGGGCTAATGATGTTTAGGGGACTGGATTTTTACATGAGCTTTCTTTTAATAATTTACATATTAATGTAATGAGAGGCTGAAGAGTTACTATGCCTGTGTGGTAGTATGTACAATATATTACGAAAAACAAGGTAGATTTAAATTACGCAATTTTAAAGTCAATCAACCACATAAGGTTCTTTGTTGTGTTGGGAGGGGACCAGGTTATTTTAACTATTAATGTTTGTTTTTTTAAAACTATTTATTTAATTAATTTTTAACTATTAGTTTGTTGGGGTTTGGACTATAATTTGATTATGATTTTCTTAATTGTGTTTTGTCTTTTGCAGGAAACACTGCATTACACGACTGTGCTGAATCTGGAAGTTTGGAGATTATGAAGATGCTTCTTAAGTATTGTGCTAAAATGGAAAAGGATGGTTATGGAATGACTCCCCTTCTGTCAGCTAGTGTGACAGGCCACACAAATATCGTGGACTTTCTGACCCAGCATGAGCAGACCAGTAAGGCTGAGTGCATAGATGCTCTGGAACTTCTGGGAGCAACATTTGTGGACAAAAAAAGAGATCTGCTTGGTGCTTTGAAATACTGGAAGCAAGCTATGGAAATGAGATACAGTGATAGGACTAATATCCTGAGCAAACCTGTGCCACAAGCACTAGTTATGGCATATGATTATGCTAAAGAGGTAAACAGCTTAGAAGAGCTAGAAAATCTTATTGCAGACCCTGATGAAGTGAGAATGCAAGCACTATTAATTAGAGAACGTATTCTTGGCCCCTCTCACCCAGATACATCCTACTATATTAGATACAGAGGTGCTGTCTATGCAGACTCTGGAAACTTCAAGCGTTGCATCAACTTATGGAAGTATGCTTTGGACATGCAGCAGAGCAATCTTGATCCACTGAGCCCTATGACAGCCAGCAGTTTACTATCATTTGCTGAACTTTTCTCCTTCATGCTGCAGGATAGGGCGAAAGGCCTGCTGGGCACTACTGTCACATTTGATGATCTCATGGGTATACTGTGCAAAAGTGTCCTTGAAATAGAACGGGCCATGAAACAAAGCCAGTGTGCTCCTGATCCAATACAGCTGCATAAAGCCCTTTCCATCATTATGCATTTAATTTGCCTGTTGGAGAAAGTACCTTGCAGCATGGAACAGGAGCATTTTAAGAAACAGACTATTTACAAGTTTCTTAAGCTTCAGCCTAGCGGGAAAAATAACTTCAGTCCACTTCACCTTGCTGTTGACCATAATACTACATGTGTGGGTCGCTTCCCTGTGTGTAGATTCCCCTCTCTGCAAGTTACTGCTATCCTGCTGGAATGTGGTGCTGATGTAAATGTCAGAGACTCTGATAATAACAGTCCATTACACATTGCTGCACTGAACAACCATCCAGACATAATGAATCTTCTTATCAAGTCAGGTGCACACTTTGATGCCACAAACTCACATAAACAAACTGCTAGTGATTTGCTAGATGAGAAGGAAATAGCAAAAAATTTAATCCAGCCCATAAATCATACTACACTGCAGTGTCTTGCTGCTCGTGTAATAGTGAATCATAACATATACTACACAGGGCACATTCCTGAAAAACTAGAGAACTTTATTTTGCTCCATAGATGATGGTGGGGTGTCCCAGAGTACTTTTTTTCAAGCACGACTTGGTGATGATATTTTTCTTGACCACTGTTGTGACACACCAGCGTTCCCTTAGCTTGCTCCGTCTTGCTCTCATTGGCTAAGCATTGTTAGCATCAGATCTGCACAGTTGGTTATCCAGTATTTAATATGAATATGCCATATAATATATTTTGTGGATTATTTAGAAATGTAATGCCATATTTAGACTCTTTAAATTGTCTGCCAAAGGCTTGTCTATTCTGGTCTTACTTGCCTGTTGGGTGTTTGGGACAGAGTTGAGTATTTTCCACTGATGTCTTTTTACTATAACTGTTATGTGCATTTTATACAGTTGAAAGGTCATCTTTTTTTGGTTTTGCTTGAGCATTTCTGCTCTTACTCTGTCCTTTTTCTACGGACTCATTGCTAAACTGTTCAAGTTGTATGGACTTGTTAACATTTGCAACTACCATAAGTGCTTTTATCTTCTCTATGCACTGGCTTAAACATGACTGTTGTGTGTGAGCATATTTCTATGCAGCACTTGGCCAATTTCAACTTAAATGCCCCTTTTTTTTTTTTTTTTTGCAGTTTGTTTGTAGCTCTTTTTGAGAATGCTGTCTTCATAGCATGATGAATTCTGGAGTTACTTATCCACTCTCCAGACTTAGGTTTGACTTTTTGACTCCTGTAACTGAGGTTGCTTTCCTTTAAATCCTCTGGAAATTTTTCCTAAATCTGGGAGAAGAAAAACTCGCTTTTTCTCATCATAGTCCACTGGAACTTTAAATCTGAAAATCACTTTATTGCATCGTGCAGGGGATGAGAGTCCTTTTATGTTAGGGGAAGAGTCCTCTTTATGTACAACTGATACCTTCCCCTTTGCACTAATGTCTTGCTTGTGCTGGTTATGTGACTAGATGTGAAGTTTGCTCAAAGTTTAACCTCAAATTTAATGATACACTTTAATGAGAAATAGATCAAATGTATACTGTAGTTTTAAAATTTACAAATCAACTTTAGCTGCAAAAGAAGCTAAAGCATGTCGGTGGCATGATGCTTATCAGTCCAGATCTAGACATCATCTAATATAACATAGTAAGTGGCTGTATGCCAGGGTATTGGAAGTTCTATAGCAGTGTCCTTTTTTCTTCATTTTAAGTATCTTTATAAATACTTGCATGGATTTTTCATCTCTGCTATGTCAGCTGTACTTAACACAAAGCAGAAGTTCTGTTGTATATATAGCTCTTAATTAAAGTACCTATTTTTATAATATTTGCACAACAGCTTAGCTTTTACAACAGAAAGGGCTCTTTTGACTTGATAAGAAATCTATAAATGAAGATCATAAATGTGAGTGCGATTCAGGTTATTCATATAATTCAGCACTTTACTGTTGATTAATAGTAGAATTTATTATGGCACATTAGCCCTGCAATTGTCTTAAAGTGAAATTAATTTCTGCTGGGTAGAATACAGTTTACTTGCAAGTTTAGTGGTCTAGCATATTGGATATTTCTGACTTGATGTTTCATTTCATTGGTAAGTGTACCTATGGGGTACTTGCTCCACAGATTCAACAAGTTGATTTAGGCCTATGTAAGTGATAGTGATATTTAGAAGCCAAATTAATTAAAGTTGTTTTAGGGGATCTTTTCTAATACTTTACTTTCATTTTTATTTTTTACATTGATGTTGTAACACTGTTGTCATTTGTGAATAAAGTGGAGGAAGAACATGTCTTGGGAGCACATTAAGAATAGTTCTTCCTTGCTTTTGGGTTGTTTTGAGGTTCATGTTAGTGTACAGTATGGTGCCTACTAGCTTAGCCATTCTTGGTAAAAATAAGGGGATATTTTTACACAAAATTATGTTGAAAGCAGTGCTGTTTGTGTATTGCTACTTTCAGACTGTGTTTTGAAGCAACTTTCACCTTTTTGTCTGATGCCATGCCTGCTTTGTATGAAATTATGAAAATGATGAAACCGTGTTAGTTTCTCTTCCAAATAGTAAATTTCGATTCAATTGGCTGACTTTTTCTGATTTGTAATAATTAAAACACTTTCCACCCAAGTTGTCATTTGTGAGAACATGTGGTTTGATTTTTTTAATTTCATCTTTTTATTTTCAGTGTTTTTCTACTGATCTGTAATTAGGGATAATCAGCAAATCACACCATAATAGAAATTATCCATCTTGTACTTCAAGTCATAAAAATAATTCTTTTTCTGTACATCACAGAGAAAGGGGTTTCTGGAATCTGTACTGCTCTTTAGTGTTTATAGTTTAAATTTTTGTCTTTATTACTGTCAAATACCCTGTTTAAAATTAGTTGTACATTATTAGTCCAGAAATACAATCTAAAAATTTATAATTGCTAGCAAATTTTTGAATGGAAAACATTCTCAAAGGAGAAAGCATATCGCTATTAAATATATGTAAACCTAATGAAAATTGCTACAAGGAAGGTTTATTCTGTTATCTACTCTTTAAAAACAAACCAATTTAATTGGACATACTGATTTATTGTATGTAGTATTGTCTAGATAGATATCTAGATGCACCAATGTGCATTAATCCTAGAAAGTATCACCTCCGTGCAGTATTTTTCATAGTGATGAGGCTATCTGCTGAACTCACCTTGCCAGATACTTGTACTTAGGTATCCAGGTGGATGAGTTCATGCATTTAATACCACTTTCCATTTAGCCCTGTTTAATTTTTCTTAATTTTAAAACAAATTAGTACAGAGCCTGTGCTGAGTAATGCATTGGGGATTAGTTCAGGATTTGCAGATTTGGAGGGAGCGTTGGGACAGCAGGCCCTGTCTGAGATGCATGTGCCACTAAGGCCAGTGCTAATGGGTAGTAGCAGATTTGCGCCCTCAGCCCCTGATTGAAACCAGTTTTGTCTCCAATTCTGTATAGATATCAACTTTCTGGATCAGAATATTATTACTAATTATTATTATTATTATTATTACACATTTAGAGGTGGGAATAAGTTTATTTTAGTGAAATACGTTGATGCTAAATGCAGTAGTGTTGCTAGCTGGACTGTGGTAAGGACAAGAAACTAAAGAGCATTCAGAACACAAAGAATTGTTTTTTGTCATATTTTTAAACTCATTCTTTTCCTGTTCTTCTCTTTTCTTCCTGTTTGGGCTTTTTTTTTTCTGATTAAGTATACTGCTTCTGAGCTGCTGACACAGAAAAATGTTGAAAACACTGTGTCAAAAATGGTATGCCCTGCAGAGGTGAAACAGGTTGAAAATGGATTAAACAATTTACAGGTATGGGTCCTTAGAGACAGACACTGATACCACCTTGCTTGTTGAGACCTCTGAAGTTGTATTTTTTTGGGGTGGGGGATAGATGCTCAAAGCAGCTTTTTCTTCTAATCATCTTGGGCTTCAACTGAAATACTTCAGTCAGGAAGATGAAGAGTATTCTTACAAGAAAAAAAAATACTTTTCTTACTAAATTCTAAAACTTTATTCCTATTTTTGTATCACGTTTGCTGGTAACAAGATTCCAGGTGTCTGTGGTGTCTCTGTTCTGTTTGTCAAGCGCAAAGTAAAGCGACTTTCTGAAATGCAAGGCAACAGTGTGGTTAGTTTTCCATATATATTTTACAATAGTCCCTGAATAGGAAGTAATTTTGTGTATTTCCTAAGTCCTCAAAGAGCTCTTTTTTAACTGCTGTTTTGCAACTGGTTAAAATTAACCTCTTTCCGTTTTTACAAAACACTACTTTAAAAAAGGATAATAAATCCTCACAGAAGGATTTGCAAAAAGATAAAAACCTTATGAGGAAAAAATGTGCCTCGGCTTTGTACCAACTGCAAAGTGACAGTGACAGGATATGACTGCTCTTGAAATAGCTTCCTAAAGCTTTGAAATGTAGAGTGGAATGCCTGTTACACTCTAAAATGTTGACAAATGTGAGTAAACACTATTATTTATCTTATTTGCCTACAATGATGTCAACTGGTATTTAATACTTCAAAGTAATTTTGGGGATTTTGATGGGAGACATACTAGACTGCTTCTATCTCTCGTCTTTGAGTGTGAAAGTAACTGTTGACCCCTCAGTGAGGGCCAAAGGAAAAGCTGTTGGTTTGGTTTTAACTAATGCTGTATTTGTGTTCCATTCTATCACAGAGACTTCCTATGCAGGGCTAGCTCCGTGTATGGAAATACTGCAGTTTCTTTTTTGCGTGAAGTAATTTAGCTTTAACAGTAATGTAAAAAAGGAATGATAAACATATTTCTCTGCTCTTACTCTCTTTAGGCTCTAAATGCAGATTGCATTAAAAATATGTTTTGGAGAACACCTGTCTGAGTCTATATATCTGTTTCCTTTAGGGTTACTGCAATACTGCTGGTTAAACTGCTTTTTCTGTGGAGTATAAATAGTTAAATGTGAACGCTGCTACTTTAGACTGATCTTCACATTATTAAGCACTGTACCTTAAACAAAATGTCATATTTCACTTTCTTTCTGTGAAACACTGGTCCAGCCAAGCCTTTAAATTCTAGTAGTGGCTAATAGTAAAGAAAAGGCTTAAACTGGATGACACAGGAGATATTATTTTCCTGGTTTCTAGAAAATGCAGGCAGTTGTGCTATTAACTCGGTGAAAACATAGTAGTTATAGTTTATAACATAGAAGTAATGAGCACAACCTTGTAAGAGGTAAGCAACAGGAAAATTTTTCAAGGAAGTTGCACATTTCTCCTTAAAGCTGTTGAAGTCTGTTCTCTATTGCATGCACAATTGAAAAAGACAGAGGAATAGAATATGCCAAGGGTGAGAGAAGTATGAGAGGTTCCTTATTAAAGGCAACTAGAGAATGGAAGACTAAAGAACATTGCCATTGTCATTTCAAAAGGTCTTTATATTTAGGCACAGTAGTCATAATCCTATAAGTAAAGGCAGTGTACACTTAAGAGAGCTGAAATTTTAGATTAAGGCCTAATCAGTAACAAACAGCATCAGAAAACATGAGGCTCTGGATGAGGTAAACTGATCCAGAGCTTTCACAATGGGATAACTGTCACACAGATGGCTTTAATGAATTGACTATAGATTCTCTTAATTAGGAAAGAGAAGAACTGGAAAGAATCATTTACATCATTATCCGTCCCTCTGCGGTTGCAGATGATGATAGATGTTTTTTGTCTAGAAGTGTCTGCTCGTTACCTAAGCTGTATACCCATGCAAAAATACTGCTCAGCAGTAGCAAATGCTGGCTCTCAGTTGAAGACTAAAACTCACACTACAAAGTAGTGAAGGAGGAGGGCAAAAGAGGCCAAGTATATGGTGTGTCACTGCCAAAGGCAATATGTTTGTTTGTTTCTCACATAGTATTCAGAGGGCCATGCACCATCCACAGTGAAAAGGAGAAAGCTGTTCTCCCTCCCACGAAATCAAAGCCTTTCCTTGCAGTTGATCTCCAATGTTCAGAAAAATTAGAGAATTTCTGTACTTGTAAAGGAGTTGTGGACAAAGATGCTTGATTATGCACAAAGAAAATAAATAATTGCTTTTTGATCCCTACAAGTGCCCATCAGAAGCCGATGAGTATGAGGCTATGATATAAATGGCAATCATGTCTCTCACCAGATCATAAGACACATGGGTTCCTACCTGAAGTTTGAAGAGTTGCTCCTAATCTCCTGAAGATTTATCAAGCCTTAAGTTCCTTGCCAAACTGCTCTTTAGCAGGCTATTTGAAACTTCAGTCCTTCAGTAATTAGGAACTTCATTCTCATTTGATACTTATTTTTTCACAGTTTTGTATGTTTGATCTTTTCATAGTTTCAGTGCTTGTCAGTTCTTCAGAAAGAGTTATCCTCTCCCACCTTCATGTGGTTAGGCCAAACCAGCCAACCAAAAAAACCAGAAGCTCTAAGGAGAGCAAAGAACAGAATAATCCAGTCACATCAGCTGAGCTTATGGTTCAGTTCTCCCCTCCCTCATTTGTATGTTACAAAAAGGGATTCACTGATTCACTAAACATTTTTTTTTTGATGCTGACACTGC